CGCTGTCATGTATTTAAAAAATAAAAGCAATTAAAAAAAAAGAATAAAGACTAAAAATGCAAGGCATGCCTGGCCCAGGCCTCACCTGTGTCCCTATTCTCCACTGGTCCGGCTCTCTCCAGGTCTAGCCACTTGAGTCTTCTTGCTGCCCCTTATCAGGCCAATCACATTCCAGATGAAAATGAATGCCTAACCTTGACCTCAACCTGTAAAAGCCACTTCTGCAATCAACTCTTTTTAATTTTCATAGATTATCACATTTTCTAATCATGTATTTGTGAATTCATTTAATGTCTTCTCTGCTGCTGGAGTCTATGCAGTCTCTGTGGCTCACCACTGCATTCCCCAGTCCTCAGATCAGTCCCTGACATGTAACAGGCTCTGGAGAAAGAAATACTAGCTGAATGAATAACAAAAAGAACCAATCTCCAATTCCTAATCTATTCAACAGGAAAGTGAGAATGATCTGAGGATTTAATAAAACAATGGTGTTAAAGGACAATTTTTGATGATAAGTAAAATCATAACTCCCATTCAAATAAAAATAAACATATATCAGAGATTTTATTTAACTCATCAATTAAAAGAGGAAATCTATAAAAGTCACAATTGGTTCAAAGGAGAATTCAAAGAACAGACACATTTGTAGATCAAGAATAAATTTGCATATAGATGCAAAATTGGCTTTTCTGTGAGAGAGAATCCTTCACCAAAGATTTTTATTTTCATGAATGTAGATAAGATTTATTTGCATTATTGTTCACTTTTTGTTTGTTTGTTTGTTTTTCAAATTAACCTTAGTATCTACAGAGTTGTAAAATAGCCTAGTCAATACCAAAGTTCAGACAATTGCTGGAGATACCAGCATTCCATTGAAATGTATTCAGTATTTTTCTTTTTTTTTAATAATATTATTTTTTCCCCACATTTTTTATTGGTGCATTATAGTTGTACATTGTGATATCTCATTATAGTTGTACATCCAGTATCTCTCTTGATTATTTCAAGACTTAAAAAGAAAACTTGTTTATCATCTTTACTTCTTTCTTTCAAATTATCTCAAACAAAATTATTCACAAAATAAGGCTGGTCTTGTTAGGTTTGGCTGGGTTATTTGCACTGAGGAAGCAAGAATGTTAAATTACTGTTTAGGACACCTAAAGCTTATTTTGCTGAAAGCTTTCATAAGGAATCTCAGACTGAACTTCTAAAATCATTTATTATTTGCTATCCTAAGGTTGGTAAGTCAAGGCCAAGAAATTTTGTTCTCCAGATTCCAACTGAAGGACCTATAAATTTGGGTCTTCTATTTAGAGCTGTTTCAAATATCCCAAGCTTCTTGGGCTTGCAGGATGTGGCCTTCCTTACCACGATGGAAATCCTATTAGCCGTGTACCACGCTAGTTTTTCTGGGAGGACTTTGTTAACACTGGCACCAGAAAGTCAACCTCAGTCCTTTATAAGTGACTCGTCATTATGATTAAATAAACATCATTCTCAAATATTCCATGCAAGGCCTTGGTTGCATAAGTGATTTTTCCATTTATATCTTTGTAAAAGGAGAACAGATTCTTATTGGAACTATGCAGATTACTCTGTTGCCATGAAAAGCAAGGAGATTCAATGAGAGTTTCTAATTGAGGGAGGCAGGGAGAGCTCAAAGAATTACAAGTTTAATTTTCTGATAATTTGAAGAATATTTAATTTATTGTATGTCCTTATTTATCTCTATAAGCCAGTCAAAACAGAGCTCCTTTTAAGGCTTTTATGCTCTAATTTAAGAATGCTTTCTGGAAATAAGAAAACCTCCTACATTAACAATGAGGGGTAACGGGCTTTCTGAGTGACACATACACACACGTATAGATCCAGGGCGTGTACACCTGAAATTCTTCAATTTCAGCCACAGCTGAAAAGTAAACACAAATACAAAAACTGAACACTACAGAATTACAGTATCAAAGTTGTTTTCCTTCCTCCTGGGCATATATTCCTAACTGATTTTAACTCACAATAGATGAACACTAACCAAATCTATTCTCTATCGCTTTTCACCCAGCAGGGAAATAGATCTCTAGAATACATTAATCCATTTACAGAGATTTCCAAATTTCCAATCACTGCAGCTACCAACAGGAAATAACTCATCATTTGTAAATGAAACAAAAAGAAAAGCAAAATAATAGAGAATAGAATTAAAGTTAGAAAAACAAATTTCAACAAAGTTCTATCACCACTTTGAATTCACCTGTGGGAGACAAGGAAAAAAAAAAAGTGTCTGGGCTGGTGTCTGTGACACCATTTCTGATGACTTCGGGTGACTCTTGGCTTATCTTAGTGGGTCCTCCAAACCTGTTAAAGGATGATTTTTTTAAAAAAAGTAAAGTCATGACTCTTACATAAATTGAACATGTCAAAAACTATATTTAACTCATTAATTAAATGAGACAACTAGTAAGATGTTACGGTTGATTCACAAAATACAAATAAGACATATTTACAAATCAAGAATATTGAAATAAATTTGCAAATGGATGCAAAACTGGCTTCTCAGATGGAAGAGTTGTCCTCCATGTGACAGAACTTACTCACATGTGTATAGACAGAAATTATTTTCATTGCTATCATATATCTACACTTTAAACCTTCATCTTTACAGAATTATAGACAGTTTAAACAAAAGCACAGCACTCTATAGCATCAGGTAATCTTCAGAGTTCCAATATCTCCATTAAAAAAATCCCCTAATCTCTTTTGCTTATATCAGAGTCTTAACTTCTTCCTTCCAGTTATGAATTTATACATATTTGTCTAAAATTAAATAAATTGCTTCACCCAGTACCAAGGCAAAGATTAAAATCATACTTATATTCTTCAAAATTCTCAGAGAATGAAACTGACTCTTTAAAGTATAATGATTTATAAGGAGCTCTGTTTCTCACCTCTGCAAAACAGGCATAGTTCTTAGGCAGAGATTGGGTATTTACAGGTGGGAAATATTTGTGAAGACAAACAACTAATGTTGCTGTCACTGGGACAGAGGGCCTGAGGAGGTTTCCTCCAAGGGAGGTGGACCTTGACTCAGGCCATGAAGCTCCTTGACGTCCTTGCAGAAAGGAATCCAGGAACAGCTCAAAGAAAGGCACACACTTATTTTATTGAGAGAAATACACTCTGTGAGAGTATCACTATACAGGGTGGAGTGCCAGCATTAGGGAGGGAAATGCTAGCTAGATCTTAGCGAGGCAAATTCATACACGTAAAATCTATAGTACAGACTGAAGAGGGTATTTTTAGTTCCCCTTTGTGTTGGTAACTGGACATGTTCACCATGACCGACTAGGGGTTCTTTTGTTTTTGATGCATTCTGTTTTGTGACTTTGAACAGTACTCCCTTGGTGTACCTGTGGATGAGGTCTCATCAATGATTAAATAGGTTGTTTGTGATCAAGGTAAGTGAAAGTGACCATTAAATCTGGACTTTTAATCCAGTGAAAGTGGACTTTAAATCATAGTACTCTTGTGTTGTCCTGAAGATCCCCTTTTTGCCTCTCCTTATGTCTCCCATCCTACCTCATTGCTATTTTAAAGAACATATTACAACCAGTTCTAGTGTTATAAAAATTAAAACCTTTTTACTACTTTAAAAGAGGGTTTAAAGAGTTGTACACTGGATCAGTAGTTCTTAAGTTTGAAGTAGGAAAGATCGACCTGGAGTGTTTATTTAACACATATGTTACTGGGCCCCAATTCTGGTGGTTCTCAAACTTCGGTGTTCCTAAGTACTTCCTGGAGGCTCCAATAATGCAGATCCCCAGGCCCTGACCTCAAGCTTTAGGACGACTCTGAAATGGGGCCCAGGAATTTTCACTTTCAGTACGAAAATCTTCCTCCAAGTGAACTGCTCTAGGTAAACTGGAGATTTCTCTCTGGAATCATTGTTTGATAAGCAATGTCCTCATCAGCTCTCCAACCCTTCTGTGATGATTCTTCTGAATTCCTGAAACACAAAACTAACATCTTTAAAAGCAAAAAAAATATAGTCACAGAGGTCTTAAAGCAAATGGAAATAATACTTAGAATGAGTGACAACTCCTTCAACTAATCCAGCTTGGTACACCATTTGTATACTAGGAATTTGTTGAGATCCAGAATTCCTAATTTTCCTTTCTATTATGTAATAGAACAGTGAGAAACTGAAATCCTCCCACAAATTCATTACAAATAGTCCCCAAGTTTCTGGGTTTCTGGCTTCGATACAATAGATCTACCTTAATGAAAGTTCTGCCCCCAGCAGCAGGCTTTGTTCAATTATTCATATATTCATTGATTTATTCATTTGTTTACTTATTTAACAATGTCTCTTGTCCTTAAAAAGGCTTGGCTCCAGCCTTGCTGACACAGTATGGGTTCTAGGAATTGTAAATTAGTTGCATTAATACTAACGGGGTTGCTCAGTTACACTGAAATAACCCATTGGAGCATTCATATCTTCTGGTGAAATGAGAAATGTCTGGAGATAACTCCTTCTTTGATAAAGTATGACTGATTTTAACAACAGGGGCATGGTTTCAAGCATACAGGTTTTCTTTTCTTTCTTTCCAAACAAAGAATCTCCTTAGTTATTAAGAATGTGTGCCCAATTTCTCTGAATTTTAAAAAGAGCAACAATATTACCAATGATTGAGAATGTCATAAGTACAAGAAGTTTTAGTTTGCTGTGAAATTATATTTCTACCTTAAAATGAAATTACCTTCATGCAATTTTATTTCATATTACTGCTATTGGAAATGACATTTTCCTTGGGTTAGAATATTAAGCTTAAATGAACGCATACTAGCCATATTTTTTTATGCAAAGGATTAAGGCACTAGCTGTACCCTTACAAATAAGATGACGAATGGTAAGTTACACTTGTGAAGTTTATAGAGATCACACTTGGTGAAATGACTTAGTTAACCTCAAATTCTGTTAATCTTCTTTCTTAGGGATTTTAAACATGATAGAACGAGGATTGATCCCCCCAACAGCAAAGATTACCTTCAGGAATCCACCCATTAGGCCCAAAGCAGCTCCTCTGCACAGTTTTGATGAATCGCATAAGATTCCAATCTCTGGTAAGACACTGCCAACTCCACGCTTGGTTGGGGCTACACAGAAATCGCCTCCCCACAAAATCTCCCCTACTAGTGGGCAACTTTAACCCTTAATAATAGAACAAGATGAAAGTGGCAAATAGCCTGAGTTTTATGTTAACGAGTAAAGTAACTTTAAGGTAAATCAGCATTTCTGCTCTTATGGTGCTTATGTTCCAGTGGGAGACACAGACAATAAGCAGGTAAGTAAAGGAGAATTTAAGCTAATGATACGTGCTAGAAATAAACGATATGGGTAAGAGTGAGAAAAGGGAGGAAGGGCCAGGAAATGCCTCTCAGAAGAGTGTGGCTTGAGCTGAGATCTAAAAGACACTCTGTTTATTCCCAATTAGTTGTAACAAGTCTGGATTTCATTAGCTAATACTCTGTTTGTTTACAATTTTTACATTTTTTTTGTGCATGATACTGCCCTAAATTAATTTTTTCCCCTGCCATGTTTTCCTTGGATTTTATTTTATTTTTTAAATTTGTTTTTTAACTAACACACAAAAATCATACATATTAATGAGGTGCCATATTATGTTTCAATAAATGTATATATTGCATAATGTTTAAATCAAGTTAAGCAGATTTGTCTCATGAAACATTTATCATTTCTATATAGTGAAAACTTTAAAACTCTCTTTATCTAATCCTTTTATGTACAGTATGTTATTATTATCTACTATTCAATAATAGCACATCAGAACTTATTACTCCTATCTAGGTGTCACGTAGGACCCACCGACTGACATTTCCCATCCTATCCCCACCTCTTCTTTCCCCTGCCTCTGGTAACCACCATTCTACTCTCAGTTTCTATCTCCAAGATGAACTTTTTAAGATTCTATGTATGAGTGGCTCATGCATCTTTCTATGCCTGGCTTACTTGACTTAACACAGGGATGTCCCTAACCCTAACCCTAACCCTAATTCATCCATGTTATTGCAAATGACAGGATTTCATTCTTTTTATGGCTGAATGACATTCCATTGTGCGTGTTGTCCATGTTTCTTTATCCACCCATCACCTGATGGACAGGTTGTTTCCAGTTCTTGGCTACTACGAATAGTGCTGTAGTGAACACAGGAGTGCAGATGTCTCTGTCTCTCCAGTCACCTGACTTCATTTCCTTTGGATGTGTACCCAGTAGTGGGATTTCTGGGTCATATAATAATCATATTTTTTATTTTTTGAGGAATTTCCATATAGTTTTTCATAATTTACAGTCCTACCAATAATGTGCAAGAGTTCCCTATTCTCCACATGCTCACCAGCACTCTTTATCTTTAGTCTTTTTGAGAATAACCATTCTCACTGGGGTGAAGTGATCTTTTTTGTGGTCTTGATTTACATGTCCCTGATGATTATTGATGCTGAAATTTCTTAATGTACCTGGTAGCCATTCATATGTCTTCTTTTGAGAAATGTCTCTTCCGATCTATTGTCCATTGTAATTTTTCCCCCTATAGAATTTTTGGAGTTCCTTACACATTCTGGGTATCAAACATGTCACATGTATAATTTGCAAACATTTTCTCTTAGTCCGTAGGTTGTCCATTCACTCTGTTGATTTTTTTTTTTTTGGCTGTACACAGCTTTTTAGTTTAATGTAATCCCATTTGTCTATTTTTTGCTTTTGTTTTCTGTATTTTGGAGATCTTTTCCAAAAAACCCATGCCCATTCCAATGTCTTGAAACACTCCCTGCCATTTTTTCTGAGTGGTTTTATGGTTTCAGGTCCTGTGTTTAAATCTTTGATCCATTTCGAGTTGATCTTTATAGCTGATTAGAGACGGGAGTGTAGGTTCATTCTTTTGCATGTGGATATCCAATTTTCCCAGCACTATTTATTGAAAAGCTTGTCCTTTCTCTAATGTGTGTTCTTAGCACTTTTGTCAAAAACCAGTTAGATATAGATGTGTGGGTTTGCTTCTGAGCTCTCTATTCCCTTGGTCTAAATGTTTGTGTTTATGCCAATACCATGCTGTTTTGATTACTACAGCTTTGTAGTATGCTTTGAAATCAATGCCTCCTGCTTTATTCTTTTTGCTTAAGATGGCTTTTGCTATTCATGTTTTTTTTGTTGTTCCATATAAATTTTTTAGAATTATCTTTCCAGTTCAGGGAAGAATGTCATTGTTATTTTATAGGAATTGTATTGAATCTGTAATTGCTTTAGGCCCTATGGGCATTTTTTTTTTATCATCTTCAGTTTCTCTTATCAATATTTGCAATTTTCATTGTAGAGATCTTTTGCTTCTTTGGTCAAATTTACTCCTGGGTATTTTTTTGTAGCTATTGTAAATAGGATGTGCTCTTGATTCCTATTTCAGATAATTTGCTATTGGCATATAGCAATGCTGCTAATTTTTGTATTCTGCAACTTTTGCTGAATTCACTTATTAGTTCTAATTTGTAGGGGTGGATTTTTTTTTGTTTTTTGTTTTTTGGGTTTTTTTTTTTTTACATACAAGATCATGTAATCTAAAAGCACTGACAATTTGACTTCTTCTTTTCCAATTTGAATGCTCTTGATTTCTTTCTCTTGCCTGATAATTCTGCCTAAGACTTCCAGAACTGTGTTGAATACAAGTGGTAAACGTGGACATCTCGTCTTGTTCAGATCTTAGAGAGAAAGCTTTCAGCTCTTCCCCGTTCAGTATAACATTAGCCATTGTTTTATTATGAATGGACTTTATTATGTTGAGCTGTGTTCCTTTTATACCTAATTTATTCAACATTTTTATCATGAATGAATGTTGAATTTTATCAAATGCCTTTCCTGCATTTATTGAGATGATCATGGGTATTTTTTCATCATTCTCTTGACATAGTGTATCACAGCTCTTGATTTGTGCATATGGAACCATCCTCACATCCCTGGGATTAATCTCACTTGAACATGGTGAATAATCTTTTTAATGTGCTGTTGGATTTTGTTTACCAGTATTTCATTGAGAATTTTTGCATCTATGTTCATCAAGCATATTGGCCAGGAAAAAAAAATATTGGCCAGTAGTTTTCTTTTTTTCTCTTTATTTGTTTGTTTGTTTTCTGTGGTTGTTGTTGTATCCATTTCTGGTTTACTATCAGAGCAATACTGGCCTCATAGAATGTGTTTAGAAGAATTCTTCCTCTTCCTCTTATGTTTTTTTGGAACAACTTAAGGAGAATTAGTATTAGTTCTTTAAATGTTTAGCAGTGAACTCAGTAGTGGAACCATATGGTCCTGTTTTTTTGTTTGTTTGTTTGTTTTTGTTTTGATGGAGGCTTTTTATTACTGATTCCATCTTGCTGTTATTGTTTGTTCATGTTTTCAGGTTTTGTATTTCTTCATAATTTAGTCTTTGTAAGATGTACATTCTTGGAATTTGTCTATTTCTTTTACATCATCAATTTTTTTGGTACATATGTTTATAATAATTTCTAATGATTTTTTGTATTTCTGTTAAATCAGTTGTAATCTTTCCTTTTTTAATCTATGATTTTATTTATTAGAGGCTTCTTTCTCCTAAGTCTAGTTAAAGGTTTTGTTTATTTTTTTTTGAAGAACCAGCAAGGAACCAGCTCTTTGTTTGATCATTTATATTGTTTTATTGTTGTTGTTGTTGTTGTTTTTAGTCTCCATTTCATTTATTTATGCTCTGATTTTTATTATTTTTTCCTTTTACTAATTTTAGGCTTAGTTTGTTCTTGTTTTTCTACTTCGTTGATATGCAGCAACAGGTTGTTTATTTGAGATCATTGTACTTCTTCCAATGTGTGCATTGATTGCTGTAAACTTCCCTGCTAGTATTGCTTTTGGTGTGTCTCTATTTTCATTTATTTCAAGAAAACTTTTAATTTCCTTCTTGACTTCCTCCTTGATTCATTTGTTGTTCCAAAGTAAGTTGTTTAATTTTCAGGTACTTGTTTAGTTTCCCAAGTTTTTCTTGTTATTTCTAACTTTACTGCACTGTGGTCAGAAAATATACTCTGTGTGATTTCAGCTTTTAAAAATTTATTGAGACTTACTTTGTGGTCTATCATAGGATCTATTCTGCAGAAAAGTTCCATTACTGGTGAGAAGAATGTGAATTTTTCAGCAGTTGGATGGAATGTTTTATTGATATCTGTGGGTCCAATTGGTATAAAGTATAATTTAACTCTATTGCTTTTGTTGTTGTTGGTAGTGGTGGTGGTGGTGGTTTTCTGCCTGGATGATCCATTCATTGCTGGAAGTGGATTATTGATATTTTCAACTATTATTGTACTGGAGTCTGTCTCTCCCTTTAGGTCTTTTAATATTTGTTTTTATATTTGGGTGCTCTCATATTGAGAGCATACATAGCTAGAATTGTTATTTCTCTTCTATTGCTGAATTGACTCCTTTATCATTCTATAACAATCTTTCTCATCTCCTTTTACTAATTTTGATTAAAAATTGGTTTTCTCTGATAAAGTATGGCTACTCCTGCTTTAGTTTGGATTCTATTTGCATGAAATATCTTATTCCATCCCTTTGCTCTCAACCTAATGTTTACAGGTGATGTGAGTTTGATGCAAGTAACGTATAGTTAGGTTTGGTTTTGTTTTTTAATCCATTCATTCACTCTTTTAACTGTAGAATTTAGTCCATTTATATTCAGGATAATTATCAATAAGTAAGATTTTACTATCACTGTTATGCAACTTATTTTCTAGTTTTGTTATTGTTCCTTTCTTTCTTTCTCTTGCAGTCTTACTTTGTGGTTAAGTGAATTACTCTAGTAGTGTGCTTTGATTGATTGCTTATAATTTTTGGTTTGCTTATTATAGATTTTTGCTTGGTGGCTACTATGAGACTTACAAAAATATCTTTCGATTATAGTAAAGTATTTTAAAGTAATAGCAACTGAACATGATTGTAAAGAATAAAAACAAAGGATAAGAGAAATATACTAGTAACTTTCTATTTGCACTTCATTCCTCCCCACATTTTGAATTTTTGATAATCGTTTTCAATTTTGATATATGTCTTTCTATATTGCCTATCTCCCAACATTTAACGTAGCTATTATTATTTTTAGTTGTTTTGTTTTACAGTGTTAATACTAAAGATGTGAATTTTTTATTCTCAAGCTTACAATATTGGAGCATTCTGAATTTGTATAATTTCTCTTATCAGTGAGTTTATACTTTCCTGTTTTCTTCTTATTCTTTCTTTTAGTTTGAACTTCTTTTAGCAATTCTTGGAGAAGAGGTCAGTGGAGATATATTCTCTCAACTTTTGTTTGTCTGGGAATGCCTTTATCCCTCCTTCATTTATAAAGAGTAGTTTTTCTGGATACAATAGTCTCAGTTCACAGTTTTATTTTTGTTTTCCTTTTAGTACTGTGAAAATCTCATGCTACTGTCTCCTGGCCCATAAGGATTCTGCTGAGAATTCTGCTGTCATGTGAATTGGGACACCCTTATATATGTTTATTTTCTCTTGCAACCTTGAGAATCTGCTCTTTCTCTTTCACCATTGAGATTTTGATTATAAGCTGTCTTGGGGTATATTTGGTTGAGTTAAATTTGACTGGTGCCTTTAAAAAAAAAATATATATATATATATAAAATGTGGTGCTGAGGATTGAACCCAGTGCCTCATACATGCTAAGTGAGCATCATTCTTCTGAGCCACAACCCCAGCCCCTGACTGGTGCCTTATGACTTTCCTGTATCTGGATGTTTGGGAGGTATTCTGTTATTATTCCATTGAATAAGTTTCTACCCCTTTGGCATTCTCAATCTTTTCTGAGCCCCAATAATCTGAATGTTTGCTCTTTCAATACTATTCCAAAGTTCCCATAATCTTTCTTCATTTCTTGTCACTTTTTTCTTTTTTCTCTTTCAATTGTATATTTTCAAATAGCCTCTCTTTGAGCTGACCAATTCTTCCGTTTGATCTGTCCTATGACTGATGACTTCTATCTTGCTTTTAATTTCATTGAGTGTATTTTCACCTCAATAATTTGATTTTTAAAATTTTTTTCATCTTGGGTTGGGGTTGTGGCCCAGTGGTAGAGCGCTTGCCTTGCACATGGTAGGCACTGGGTTTGATCCACAGCACCACACAAAAATAAATTAATAAAATTAAGATTTTTTTAAAATATTGTTTTCATCTCTTTATTTCTCTGTTAGAATAGTGAAACATTTCTTTGTGTTTTCTTGAAGCTCATCAAGTTTCCTTAAAACAGTTATTTTAAATTCTCTATTTGAATGTTCTTCCACACTGATCCTATTTTAGCACCTTATTTTTAAAAAATTTATTTATTTATTTTAATTAGGTATATACGACAGCAGAGTGCATTTTGATTCATTGTACACAATTGCAGCACAACTTTTCATTTCTCTGGTTGTACACAATGTAGCGTTGCACCATATGTGCAGTCATACATGTACCTAGGGTAATGATATCCATCTCATTCCACCATCTTTCCTGCCCCCATGTCCCCTTCCCTTTCCTCCCTCCCCTTTTCCCAGTCAAAGTTCCTCCATTTTTCCCATGCCCAACCCCCCAAATTATAGATCAGCATCCACTTATCAGAGAGAACATTCAGCCTTTGTTTTGGGGGGATTGGCTTACTTCACTTAGCATGATATTCTCCAACTTCATCCGTTTATCTGCAAATTGGCACCTTATTTTAAATATTAGGTGAAGTCATGATTTCCTAGAAGCTCCTGATGCTTGTTGGTGTGTGACATAATCTGGCAATGAAGAATTGGATATTTATTCTAGTCTTCCTAATCTGGCTTTGTGTTTATACTTCCAGACATTCTAAGCAAGCTGCTTATTTTCTCTGAGCCTGTAGTCACTTTTACTATTTCAGCACTGGATGGCACCTAGGTCCATATTTACTGGGAGTCTGCTGGAGGTGTGTTGTCACTGTTTCAATATTAGAGGACAATCCAAGCCCACATTTGTCCCAGATATACTATTAGGGTATTGTTCCGAAAGAAACAGAACAGTACCTAGAAAGAATAGTCTGTTCCAACAAGTCTTTCACTTGGGCCAGGGTAGATCCATATGCCTCAATCACAGTTAGTGGTGTGTAGTCAGGTACTACAGGATTTTGCCCAGCCCTGTATGAACTGGATGCACCAGCCCCAAGCTCCTATATCACACTTTGTAGCACTAATGTCACCAAGCTGTGTCACACCCTGAGCCCACAGCTTGCCAATACCATCACAACACTGGGATAGATCCATGGCCCACACTGCTGTGAGCTATCTCAGTGTTATAAGATAGCTCCTGCAGATTTGGGCCTTACATACACTTTCCAGGAAGAAAGAAGAGGAAGCGAGTGGTATATGTCTCTTCCCAGAAACCTTTGAGTATGCTTTCTTTTAAATTTCACTGGTAACAAGGCTGCGGTTAAGGAAGGCTAGGAAAGTGAATGTTCCAGGGGAAGGGTTTGAGTTAGAATTAGGATTAGGAACATACTTATGCTAGATACTTAGGCTTAGTCTGACACATCATGAAAATTCTGATCTTCTTTGTTAGATATTTAAGTATTTTTAATATTTAGATATATTAAATTTGACTTCTATTGTTTATCTGAAATTAAAATTTAACTGTGCTCTTTATTTTTTGCTATATCTGACAACTATGGAAGCTAGGAATATTGTCACCCTGAAAAAATTTGGGGCTGTAAAATTAGCAAAGAAGAAGGAAAGATGACTACTACAGAGGCACATGAGTTTGTCCAGAAAAGACATTACCCCCCCTCACTCCCTGGCAATATTTATCATAAACATTTTCCAGGAGGTAAATTGAATAGCAAAAAGAAGTGACTTAATATTTTTATTAAAGATGCAGACACATTCTCCAAATGCAAATGTTCCATAAAATGCAAGCCTGTACAAAATTATAATTTAGTGATAGCATTTATTTAGGTAACTAAGAAAATTCTTAGAGATCCCATCAACTGTGGATTATACACGTGGAATTATTAATCTTCAAGATCCTTATCCTATCAAATTCTATTAAAATCTGACAAAAATCCTTTAAAAGTTGCAAACCTGTCAGCTTCTATCTTATTTTCACATGGGAATAAAGCCCAAAATGGACAACAGACCAGGCTAGTGCAGAAGTCAAGGCAAACCACTTAGGCTTAAAGTGGGGTCTGCAGATGCCATGGCGCACAGACCAGGTGCGGGGAGGGGGGCCGGGGTGGGGGATGGAACACAAGTCCCAGGGAGGCTTCCTGGAAGAGGGAAACCAGAGAGGGCCAGATGCAACAAATAAATCCCTTGTATGGAGGTGAGTTTCAATGCTCTGGAATTCCTGCAAATTTTTGAAAGATGGCAGAAAACTTTCTTGTAGTCCACTTGAGGTAATGTGAGAACTGAGTTCTCAAAGTGAACTTCCAAATTATATATAGATATCCTTTACCAACACATTGCTTTTTATTGACATCTATCAATTCTTTTGACAGAAAAGGGGGTTGAGTACAATTGAGATGCCAGAACTATTAACTATGGAATTATTGAGATGCAAGAATTATTAACTATAATAAAATAATATAAATAATTAAAATAACCCTTATGGTGCCATTCACTTGTCTCACTCCTCCAAGTCATTTAAATGTTTTAGAATCATCTTTTATAATAGTCCACAATATGCAATTATATCAATTATCCTGCACATGAATGTGGCAATCTGGTTGTTTAAGGAAATCTTACAGTAAAACATTTTAGAAGAGAAACATTGCTCTGATTTGTCTGCTTTTAAACTTTCATCTCGGCAGCTTGCATAAGGCAGGCTGACCTGGTGCTATTGCTCTCCACCCCCACCCCCTGCTTTTGGCTTTCTGTTTGAAGCCAGGGTCACAGATGTTTCATTGACTGCATATAGGAAAGACATAGAGTGAGCAGATGGGGGGCCATAGAGCCATTTGACTTTCAAGGTGCAAACCCAACAACATCCACCAAGTGCCTCAATCTCTTTCTGGAAGAGTTAACATTGCTCCACCTCCATCCACAGCCCCCTTCTATGAACCTCAGAAACCACCGCCGGCTCCAGCAGAAGTAGAGGTGTCTCACAAGAAACAAAAATTAAAGGTATTCCTATTTCTAATTACAGAAACAAAATTCTTTTTATTTATAATATTGTTTGTGAGGATTCGGGTGATAGCCACATACTATATAATGGTTCCTTTCACACAGAAAGTATTATTTCAGTTGCCATTGGGATGCATTTAATTTATGATGATGATGATGATGATTACTATTATTATTATTATTTATAGTGCTAGGGATTGAACCCAGGACCTCCCCCATGCAAAGCAAGTGCTTTACCACTGAATTACATCTCCAGTCCCTGATTTTGAAAGGAGTGGTGATTGTACAAGTCAACTCCACCAGGACACTATCACTGGGATCTAAGAAATTCATTATTATGAGATGAAGGGGCTGAGTCAGCCTATGCTGCTAACTGGTCAGGGGTCCAGGAGTCCAGGATATATTATCTGTTGCTTTACATCCAAGTTGGTGTTGTCCAGGGCATATCATTGTGAGGCTTTGTCCTTAGGCATAGGCTAAAAAGGCAAGACCTCCAGTTGTGCACAGAAAACCTCCTAAGGAGGAAGAAGCAGCAATTCTGTATTCCTTAACATCAGCACCTCACAGTCCAGTGAAATCCATCCTCAAGAAGAGATGTCCCCAGTTCAAAAGTGCTGGACTTTTGTAGCTGGCTTTCTTATGCTTATGGGCCATGGACAGGCTTATGATCATTGAAACTTTTTGCCACAGGAAGGAGACAGCTGGCAATGTCTTTTCTGGCTGACCCCATGTGGTCACGTTTTCAGCTGCTCTCATAAAAAAAGAAAGAGACACTGGAGAGTAAGTCTGAGGAAATGTATCCTGCTGTGTCTCCAGAATAGCCTGCTTACCTGCTCCTCCCAGGCCTTCATCTCCTAACACCACATCTTCCTCAGGAGGTTTTCGCTGTATTCTCAGCAGTGGTGGCTGTTTCCCCTTCAGAGGTTTCCAAGCTGTTTATGTAGCAGCATGTCATGTGACACCCTAGTTGCCATGGCAAATATTTGTGTTACATGAAAAATGTGGGTAAAAAAATCAGTGTAAATGGCCAAATCCCAAGACAGACAGGCCTTCAGGCAAGTGTTTGGCCTGCACCATTATTGTTTCAAATTCAGCTGTTTAACAGGCTGTGAGAAGGCCAAGGGCTAATGTGCAGAATGGAACAGGCGCAGGCACCTGTTTTGATTCTCACCCTGCTCAAGCGTTCAGATCCCACAGTTGCACTGAGAACAGATCTACAGGTAATACAAATATTGTGACTGAATTTTAGCCGGTAAGAAGTTTATCTCAAAAACAACTTTAAAAAAAAAAACATTATGACATATTTTCTAAATGCTAATTAGCCCTGGCTTTAATTTCCGCTGTTGACTTCACAAAGCTTTCTCCTACTGCTAGAAGCAGTAATATTTAAAGACTTCTCCCTGTGGTCCCAGATTGGTACAACATTTCTGAATTGAAACTTCAATGGTAAATGTAATTATTCATATACTTTGCTGAAAGTGTTCTGGGCATGGAAGTTAAAAAGCTAAGAGAGCCAGGCACAGTGCCACACACCTGTAATCCCAGTAACTCAGGAGGCTGAGGCAAGAGGATCACAAATTTGAGGCCAACCTGGGCAACTCAGTGAGACCCTGTCTCCAAAAAAAAAGGCAGGGGGGAGTGGCATGTAGCTCAGTAGTAGAGCACTCCTGCGTTCAATGTCAGTACTGAAAACAGGTGGGGGGGTGGGCTAAGAGAAATATACAATATGCCCATCTTTTGGATAGAGCCAGTTCAGACTTTTGATCAGGCTTCACTACTGGCCAGAGCAGTGCCACACATAGAAGCCCTTTCTTATAAATTCTTCTCTAGCATTCCCTAGAAGTGGGACTTGGCATTTGATTATAGTTGTTTTTGTAAATATTTATTTTTGCCAAACTCCTTCCTAAAAGCAGAGGGGCTGGGAAAGTTCTTTCCAATCATTAGCAACTTCCTGCATGGAAAGAGGGAATAGGCTGGCCCATGGGGGAGGCAGGGAAGTCGGCAGAGGGACTCCGAGGCTTCTATTTGTTTGTAAAATTGCCCATGAGAGTCATTTTATTTAAACTGTGTCTCATTCTTCATTGTAGGTGAAAGGCAGAAGGTCAAAAGGACATCTTGATAAGAAGGTCTGTAATTTGTGTGACTAGTTGAAATTTGGGGTCTGTCACCTGATGTCCCTTCCTTTTTGCTGGAGGGCAAAAGTATGGGAGCCGCTTGACAGCTGGAGACAGCAACAAAGTTCTTTTGCACTTCCTTTATAAAACAAATTAGATCATCTCTTTAGGAAAAAAACAAAACATAATTTGCTTAAAGCAGAATACCTTTCTTTGCCCTCTGCTGGGACAGAACCACTTCTCAGTTTTCAGTCCAACAAATGATTTAGCATCCTTAAAATCTGAATTTGAATCACATCAGTCTTCAACCTAATTCAAATATTTTCATCATTTAAAAGTACTCTGAAAAAAGACGAGGTTAAAAATACATTCAGCTGTCCCAGCACATGATTATGTGTGTGTACGTGTGCATGTGTGTACACTCACACCCCATGTATGGTGTGGTAGGTGGGGAAGGCTATGGGGTCTGGTGTTAAGCTGATCACAGCTAATGTAATAAAAGGGGTCAGAAAAAATGAAATTGCCTCAACATGGCAAGCGTGTGTGAGCACTTGCCAGGGCCGTGCACTGGTAATCGAACCTCTGAACATGAAATGGGTATGTGCTAGCTGGACTCTCCTCTTAGTAGGAAAGTAATTAACTTTGGCAAGTCACTTAAATTCTCTGCATCTCACTTTCCTCCTCTGACAAATGAGGACCATGCCTCCTTTTTCTTAGGGTTCATTCAAGGACAGGGGAGTTCATGTATGTGAAAGTGCTTTGGTTCATTTTTAAAAGCATCTTCTAAACTTTCCTTTCTCGTTGATCTTCTTATCAGTAAAAATTTCACAGGAAGCTTAGCCACCCTTTTCAAGGAAAAAGAACCGACCTTTTTTGTCTTTTATATCTGCAGAGCTGCAACTTCTAAGGGCTCTGTTGCAACCCTGATTGCAGGTAGTCCTGCATCCAGACACATTACTCCTTGACAAACTAATCAGTGCAGTTAGATCCTTCCTCTGGTTCCCTTGACTTCTTATGAGGAACTAGTGAGCTTGATGCTACACTTCAAAAACAGAATGTGCTTTAAGAACACCAGGGCATTCTGTATGTAGAATATTTGTAACTGCTAATGTTGATTGAGCGTGTCCTGTGTGGGTGGCACTAAGCTCCCTCCACACCCGCTGAAGCCTCATAGCAGCTGCAGAACCTCCGTGGTCCTTACCCCACAGCCACCCAGACAGTAAAGGGCTGTGGAGGATCCAGCTGCCAGGGATCTGCTCTCTCCACATACCAACTTGTGACCTCCTCCCCACGGGCCAGTTCCATTACTACTACTGTCGCTGCCCCCACTGCTATTACTAACGCTAGCCGCTACCATGTGCTGAGTGCTTGCTTCTAATGTCTTAAGTAGAGCATCTCCCTTCATCTCTCGGCAGTAGGTACTTTTATTATCCTTATTTTACTGGAAGTCACTGGGTACATAGAGAGGTTAAGTCTTCCAACAAGTAAATGCCAAGGCTGGTATATAAAACGGAACTCTGTGACTCCCGGAGTCCCAAAGCATTAGAAATTTTTATAGATCTCAATCATTTTTTATGGAAATCTTTCTAAAACATATTACACCTCTACCTATTCAGTGTAATTGAACATCTTCTCTATCTGCTCTCATGTTTGCAGATGCAGATGACAAGATTCTGTGTCTTTGTTTCCTTCAACATCAGTGCTTTGGTCCATTTTTAAAAGGATCTTCTAGATCCTTTTAAAGCTTTAGAGCTCTTCTGTCCCGTCTGCTTCTCTCAGTGCTGACTTAAGAGCCATTTCTGGTTCGTAGAGTAGTTAAGCAAACAACCCAAACTCCACAAGTTGAATAAGTTTGAATCAGTTGGACCCTGCACAAAGATCCAAAGAATAAAATAAGCCATAGTAGAATTGGTAATATTCATTTTTTTGAGAAATTCAAGGAATTTTATTTTTAGAAATCTAGTTCAAAATTTTGAAGTTGTTGAGATTACTCTCTCAGAAAATAAATATTTTTGTTATCTTAAAGCAAGCATATTAACAACTGAAGTCACATAGTTCAGTTTTATATACTTAATTTTAATTAATATTTTAATAATTGTTTGCATGGGTAGAGAAAGTTAATATATTTATCAAAACATAAGAGTACAGACTAAATTCATGAAAACATTTGCTTCTGGGAAGAGGGAAAGAGATGAATGGAACTAAAAAGAAATATTATATATATATGTTTATTATAATATATAATATAAAATATGTAATATTTGTAATAATATATAATATATAGTAGGTTTAATATAATATATTATATATGAGTATATTTTTATGTATCCTAAATATATATAAAAATATATATGACAAAGAAGACAAAAAATTAACAAGCATCTGTGGTAGTTTTTATATTTTTCTCTGTGCATCCAAAATGTTTTCAAGTTAAAATTCAAATAGAAGGAAAACCCTATTTCCCAAGCCACACCTCTGCTATAAGAATTCCTTTGATATAGAGAAACAGGTTTGGGTAATAATATTTTAATCTCAAACTTGGGATCTCACTTCTCCTAGTCATTTGTATGTTGTTACTTTTTTTTTATATTTTCTCAGCATATACTTGTGATCTCTCTTCAGAAAACTGTGCTCATTGTAAGCATGAGTCAGCTGAACTATTTTAATCAGGCCACCTGTGTGATATTGAACATTCCCTGCCCCTATCTGCCCTCCTTTCCTCCTGTCTGTGTAAGGAGGAGATTCATGTTTAGGGGGCTTCCACATCTCCTTAATCCTCACCCACCAGCCCCAGGGAGAAGTTCCCAGCAGGGGGACTCTAGACTCCCCACACCCACAGCAGCTCTGTGGTTCTCCCTGTTTGCTGTGAAATTACATTTTGTATGAGCAGACTGTTCCAGGCTTGATGATATATACACTTTGAAAGCCACTACAGGGTATCTCAGTAGTTTTGGTCTTACATGTCCTACCTGGGGGGGATAAAGCTACTTCTAAAAGACTGCAGAATGCCTCCTTGGTTGACTCTGTGGTCCCAGTGCAATCTGGTCTCCTTTCTTGTCTTGCCTAAAGGTTTAGAGGGCAGATCTTACTTTGACAAGAATTAGAGCTCTATGCTGGGCACAGTTGCACATACCTCACCTGTAATCCCAGCAACTCAGGAAGCTGAAGCAAGAGGATCGAAAGTTCAAAGCCAGCCTCAGCAACTTAGCGAGGCCCTAAGCAAATTAGTGAGACCCTGTCTCTAAATAAAATACAAAAAAGGACTGGGGATATGGCTCAGTGATAAAGAGCCCCCTGGATTTAATTCCTAGTTTTTTTTTTTTTTAAAGGAGTTCTGCAACCTGGAAATACAAAATGAGGTTCAAAAGCAAGTTCAAGACTATTTTTATCTCTTTTAGACTCATTTTCCATGTAAAGCCTCATTTAAATAAGAATAGAAGAAAAATCCAAAAACAGAAGGAAAAAGTATAGGATATTTTAAAATCATTTTCCATTTTCTGTCATTCACTAGATATTGCCACCCTCGCCTATGCATTTTTTACATAAATCCACATATTCAAAGTCAATTTAATTATATATTTTTATTTGAAAAACAATTTTTTTTTCATGCAAGAAGTAATTGACAAGAGAAGCACCATAAAGATTGGTTTTGGGTTTGAGGAGTATTTTTTGGTACCAGGAATTGAACCCAGAGGTGCTTAACCACTGAGCCACATCCCCAACCCTTTTTATTTTTTAATTTTGAGACAGTATCTCACTAAATTGCTTGGGACCTCGCTAAATTGCTGAGGCTGGTTTTGAACTCATGATCCTCCTGCCTCAGTCTCCAGAACTGCTGGGATTATAGGTGTGCACCACTGTGCCCAGCATATGATTATTTCTATAGGATAATCATATCCTATAGATATGATTTTTGTAGGATTATCTACTGCACATTTTTATTACATGGATTAATGATAAACTAGAAAAAAATGTTAAATTATGAGCAAGTCACAAAATGATCTTTTTTGCATTATCTTTTTTAAAATATCTTTTTATGTGGTGCTGAGGATCAAACCCAGTGCCTCACATATCCAAGGCAAGCGCTGTGCCACTGAGCCACAACCCAGACCCATTTACTTTATCTTTTTCATTTAACAAATATGGAAACATTTTTAATAGCTACATCACATTCTGTATTAAAGATATGCCATAATTTTCTTAGACATTATCATATCCTTCAATATTGAATTATAAATGCCAAATTATTATAAATTATTTCCAGTTATTATGTTGTCAACAAAATTGACCTGAATATCTTTCATGTTTGTTTGTAAGTCTTTGTATTTAAGGTACTTTGTAGAGATACAACTCCTTGGCCAGGTGTGGACATTTTTGGAGTTGAGTAGCCAAACTTTTTCCTATCAGTGCTCCAAAATTCAAGCTATGGGTTTGCAAATAACAAATCACATGATCGTAGAACAGCTGTGTGCTGTGAGCCTAGTCCTAGTGGCTATGAGGTTCGGTTTTAGTATTCCCACATTCACTTGTTCATTCATTCAACTAATCATTATTGACCTTTTACCATGTGCAGGCAGCATAAGAGGCACTGGGGACACAGCAGTGAACAAAGCAAGTTGAATCCTTGACTTCTTGGGACTCTTTTTCTTGCAAAAAGATGATAAATGGACATTTAATGTAAAGTCAGAGAAGAAAAATAAAGCAGAATACTTATGTAGGTATAGAGAATATGTCAAAATGAAGAATTATAAAAATTCTGAAAGTGTTCTTCAGTGATCTGTGATCAACAGACTTGCTGTACACACATTTTTTCCTCAAGAAAATTGGAATGTCAGGCTTTCCTGGGTGGTAATAGGGGAACTTTTTGAGGCTGGCTCTTTTGCCTGCACCTACAGAGAAAATGATGATGTGCCTTTGCCCAGGGATCTGGGAATCAGGCTGCTTTAGATTCCCATCCTGTTGGCTTCCTGTACACATCCCCAGTGGGCTCAACCCATCCATCATATTTGTCC